TTAATTATAATTACTTCACAGTAAGACAGTTTTTGGTAAAGTTTATATTAAATCATATTTGCTTGCAAAATTTTTCATTGGAAGACACACTTTTTTTTTTAATAAATAACGTAGTTCACCTTGAAAACATAAATTCTATAGTCCTTCCATCGTACTTGTTTTTTAAATACAACTCTCATTTAATACACATATAATTCTGTGACACCCTAAAGTGGTAGATGTTTCATATTCCAGTGAATGTATTCTATAAAACCAGACATCATTGGGAAAAACGATAAAGCGAAGGACAAAAAGTAACAAATGAGAGAGAGGGAGAACGAGAGAGAGAGAGAGAGAGATTATGTGGTCTGGAAGGGAACGGTGTTAGCTGCAAATCTCCAGTGACGTCAATTATATTTATAAAAAAAATGTCAGGGTCAACGAACTTATTATTGACAAATCTATAACACAGTGCTGTGTCTGTCGAAGTGTTGCATGCAAACAATTACTCAGTACATTTATTAGTATCAGAACTGCGGATTTATATTACGCATTATAAGCTACAAAATAGTCATGTTTATGACGTATAATATTAGAGCTACCCCTCAAAAAGCATACATGCAGCATAGATGTATATATATATGTGTCTCAATTTCCCCATTTCTCACAATCCCATTGGAATTCAATATATTTTCTTGGACAGCTTCGGATAATTCAGAAATCTGATCAGTTCGGAAGGGGTACATCAAGATATAGATTATTGCTCAAAATTTAGGATAATTTGAGAGAGAGAGAGAGAGGGAGAGATAATGCATTTTCTTTTCTTCTTTTCTTTGTCGCCTCGATAAGCGCAAGAACGAACCACACTTAAAAAATCCCATCTCATTCTTCCTGTTTTAATTATATTACTGGGATGTACGTTGTAGTACTTAAATAATCAAAGTTTTTTTTACGGAAATATTGAAAAAAAAATTATTGACGTCATTGTTGGCAAAGCAACGGGTTCACATTTGTTGTTATTTTAGCTCGGGGACAATTCGGAAACTGCTGCGGAAAACGTGGTTTTTCTCCTGTGTAGACTTATAATGTCAGCTTTATCCTTTAATCAGCTTTAGTACATTGTATGCACAATTTTAAAAGCACCTTTAGGTGATACTGGATAAAGAAGAAAAAACAAAATAATTATCACATCCTGGTTATTTCTCGAAGTCCTTTCTTAGAAAATAAAATATATTCAACGAGGGTATGGAAAGTTATACCATTTCTGTCATAGTGGCAATGCTGTCAAAAAAATACATAATACGGCCACAAAGTTAACTGAAATTATGACTATTTTTTATGATACGCTTAGGAAGTATTCCTATAGAAAAATCGAAACAATACCCTAATACTAACCTTATATGAAAATCATACTTTTTTCATATACATGTATAGTAAAAGTCAGTGTTATTTTTATAACAGGTTAGTTTTAAGATTTTTTCTGAAAATTTTCAATTGGAAAATTTCTTTAATATGTCGTAGAAAAATAACTTATGAAAAAAAATCATTAAAAAATTAAGTCGATCAGTCCATAATTCAGAACGTTAATTTCATATTTTTGTTACTGCGTCTCCATCAACTTTTTAAAATGTCTTTCCTTTTTTTTTTTTAAATTTTTATTTTTGACGGCTATACATGAAATTATTTAAAAGAATAAAGAACAAAAGAAGAAGAAAAACCGAATATGACATCAAAAGCGTCCTCATAACCTGATTGTGGAGTTTTATGGCAATTCACAAGGCTTCGTCATCATGCGAGAGACTTTGACGGGTATCACGACAAAATCAGACCAACTATAACTTGTTAATTTATTCCATTTTCCCCAGATCTCTGATCTCTTTTTTAAAAATTCAAAATGTTAGAATATTTTCACTATATTTCGCTCAAATTAAGTTGTTAGAAGCGTTTAAATTTATAATATGCGGACATAAAACGGAGGATAAATATGTGCAAATAGGCCCCTGCATGGGAACAACATACATTGTATACAAAAACAAAAAAATCTAATTCACTGTAACGGTTCTGTTCCATCAACAATACCGTATTCATCATTATCATGTTTTTTTACATAATTTTTTGCATGTCAAGTAATTTCTGTTTGGTTTGGGCAAAGACGGGCTTCCAGTGAGCTAGCGACACGTTGTGCAAATCTGTAGCTCGCTGCTTTGAAAAAATGGAATGGACGGGACGTCCATCTCATTTTTGTTTTATTTTAGACCAGTGAGCTACAGATCTACGACCACCAGTTAGCATGTTCAGATGGTACACGGTTAAAATTATTTTATGGGGAAGCTTATGCGTACATCGCTTGTTATAATCGGGTTCAGATTTATTGAAAATTTTTACTAATGTAAAAATTTATTGTCTTTTTAACTCACCTGAGCCGAAGGCTCAAGTGAGCTTTGTCCGATCCGTTGTCTCTCGTTGTTGTCGGCGTTGTTGTCGTAAACTTTTTACATTTTCATCTTCTCCAGAACAACTGGGCCAATTTCAACCAAACGTGGCACAGAGTATTGTTGGGTAAAGGGGATTCAAGTTTGTTCAAATGAAGGGCATCACCCTCTTACAAGAGGAGATAATTAAGAAAAGTATTAAAAATCATCTTCTCAAGAACAACAGGGCTAGAAAAGATGAAAGAACCACGCACGCTAACTCTCGATTCCCGCCTACATTTTGCGTCCTGTGATACATTGCACCAACTGGTGATAAAGTTTTACATGAGAATACATGTTTAGGGAAACGAATCTATTAGTATGTAGATCAAGAAGGGCCATTAGTAACTCAGGTGAGCTTTGTGGCCCATTGGCCTCTAGTTATTAAAAGATTTCGCCTATTTTAGGCACTTTTCAGGAGGGGTGTCAATTATTGCCGGGTTTTTTTTCAGTCAAAACGATGATTTAGCAACCCTCGAGGTACAATATTCACCTCGTCATTCGGGCTTGGTAAACATTGTACTCCTCGGGTTGCTAAATTTTCGTATTGACCTCAAAAATGCAATAAAAGATTGTATAGTGTTATAAGTTATGCCCATTTGGACCATGATTTGGTAATAAATACTTTATATACTATTCCATTTCCTGAACTAAAGATGTCTTTCATCTACACACAGGAGACTGCCTGGCGACCATAGACGGTCAGTTTACATCAAGTCTTATTATAAAACGCGTCATTCCACCAAGTTCGATTTTTCATTTCGTGTCTGGTCCTAGAAATTGGTTAATGTATGTGTGTGTGTGCGTTTTTTTTTCTTTTGTGATAAAAAATTACTTGTCTTCGTTCCAAAATTGGTGCTTTTCTCCCATCTCACTGGTGTACACGATAAATGACCATTTCCATCAAATGTTGACTAATGCGCGCGCAATGAAATTGATTTTACGAGGTGTATAATCTGTCTTCCTTTGATACATTTCCCAATTTACAGAAAACAATAAAGTCTATATGTCACTCACGCAACACCTCTCTTTCTCTGCTTCCGGATCCAAGCAGACGATCGTCACGCACGTGGCTGTTGATGACGTAAATAGCAGACGACAAATTATGTAAATTTGAAATAAACTCATTCTAGATCACATCTCTGACGACCTCCCATTAATGATACTTTTATAATTTCTCAAATTCGTGATAATTTCTAATAACTAGACCAAGAAATTAATTGTCGACTTAAGAAGCCCTCATCCACTTTCTGTATTAATGCTGTCATAGTTTCAAAATGGTTTGATCAATACATCTTTAAAAAAATTCTAATGAAGAGTTGGTGAACTTCATACTGTTATCCCTATCAATAAGAAAATTACTTTAGGTATGATTTCAGATCATTGATTCTTGTCTTTGATGTAGGCCTATACAGGCTTATAATTTTTTCAGTTTCACAAAGGAAATTGTGAGAGTATCATGATTAAAAAAAAAAAAAATAGCTGTTTAGACACAGAGCCGGAAAAAAAAAAACAATTAAAATTTAAAAAAAAAAATACACCTATACATTTTGGGTACATTATAATGAATAGCACTTTCTATGCAGCAACAGTATCTCTAACAGGAGCTTTAACATTGAAATAAAAGTGATTCCATTATTTACGTATGAAAACAATTTTGATGATGTAAAATACAACCCTGATTAAGTAACATATATTCTGTTTCATTTCACTGGAAGCTGGACTTCATTAGGCGGTGACAAGCTTGAGCTCACATAAAACCATCTAAGGATATATTCTGATATGTTTCACATTAGTGGATTTGTTAGCCTTTTCAAAAGTTGATAAATTTCAAACTTTGATTCCGAGGCAAAAGTGATGCTCATATCAATTCTTTGACATAAACACCCAACAGTTCAAACCATCAGTCAAAATGTCCCACAATATAGTTTTTACGGGAATAATAAATCCAATAGGATGAAATACACTTCATTTACCATTATCAAGGTCAAAGCAAGGATTAAATTAATGTTTGGTTTTTAAAACATCTCATCTTGATTTACCTGTTATTAAATTTAGAAGGTGATGATCACCAACATTAATTCTCAGCAACAATAGAATTCCTCATTTATTCAAATTCAAAGGTCAAGGTAAACCCCAATGGTAGCCATACAAGAAATCTCATCCTGTTTTATTTATGTGTGATCTAAGACAAAAATAATCAGAAAAGGTCATTTTTACCACAGATTAATGTTTTTTTTCCCTCCATATACCAATTCCAAAGACAAAGGGGAGAAGCTAAGTAAGCAGACAAATGGATGGACAGAACATTCTTATCCATAGACCAGACTGCTTTGCACCCAACCACTAAATCAAAATTTTAAACATAAATTGTGAGTTAAAAAATGTGATTTCATTATCAAATGTTCAGAAAACATAAAATTGAAAGTATCAGATTACATATAATGAAATCTGGTCAGATGATAAATTGTTGTAATTAAGCCAAGGGGTTGCAGGAGTGACAGCAAATTAAAACCAGTGGCTACATTTAGCAATGAGGAACAATGAAAATTAAAGTAAATTTTCTTTTATTTCAAAATTTTATTTAAAAAAAAAAGAAAACTTTTCATGTATCATATTTTCCATATAGATATGTAAGCAGACAAAGAAAACCCCACTGTTAAGGGTTATAATCACAATTATATTGGAATGCAGTATCCACAGAGGTGTCTGAAAATTGTCCCAATCTACGCTACCTACATATAATTAAAAATATATCTCCTTAACGAGGATTCTTAATAAAATATAAAGATACAAATGAATCAGATTTTGCTTTTTGATCACTTTCTTCAGTGTAAAAGTTTGTTAACTTTACTGACACTTTGCAATTAATAACAATTTCTTTTTTGTTCAACTTAAAATTGATACAAATGCTAATGTGAATACAGCAGTAATAATAAATATTCATACATACAAATTATCACGTTTACCATGATCAGTAAATATAGAACAATTTTTAAAATTCTGTTACACAATGAATATACATCATAACATGTATTTCATGCTCCTGGCATTCAAAACTCTCAAAAAACATACAATCAGTTTCAGAAACAATTAAAGGAAGACAATATATCAAATATTTAAATTCGTTAGAAAATGGTAAATAATTATCTTAAACTTATATAAAGAAAAGAACCAACGCTGATTTTGATAAGAACATTGTAATGACTTTTTCAAAATATCATTAAATGTTTACATGATAATGTGAATTTTACGGTAATTGTTTACATGATAATGTGATTTTTACGGTAATTGTTAACATGATGTGATTTTTACGGTATTTGTTTACATGACGATATTATTGTAATGTGTACGTCTGACTTGAACTGCAATCGGTGAGGTCCCTATCACAAGATTTACTGCTGGAGTTCTACGTAGTTGGCTGGGAAAAGTCCGTTCTTACCACGACATGAACCCCTCCACCATCCCTCATCCACCTGCAAACAAGTGCAAAAAGGTCAATTTATAAAGATCATTTTTTTGCAGAAGAACAAGTTGTATACAGCATTGGTGACAATTGCCTTCTTTGTTAACATTTTCTAAGCTGAGTGGACAGCTGACCAAGAATTAGACAAACAGCTGGATGGATGACAGACACCTAATCAATGCACAAATAAGTCTAGTCTTTGACTAGTACAGCTAAAAATCCATTCTTTGTATTAATTTGAAGAAAAATTCTAACATGATGTTCCTTGTATGGGACCCACACTGATAAAATGATATATCCTACTGGTTTTAATTTACATTTTGATGTTCTCATTAACTTTTATGTGTTATAGTGCTATCAGCTTAGTGAGGAATACACTTCTACAATCTGAGGTTATAAAGATATTCAGCTCTCTGACAAATGCAGATCTGTTTGTAATTGGAAACCTTTTTCAGTGAAATAATTCCTGTGTGAGAAAACCGAAACAACATCACAAAAGTGAAAGTCACTTGGACTGCAAAATTACATTAAAAAAGAGAAGCAATACTAAGACCTTTTCTGATGGCCTCCCAATGGAAAACACAAGATTACATTTTCCCACCATTTAAAAGTGTGAAGAGAGGGGTCAATGGATGCAGTGGTTAACTTACATCAGTCCATTAATAATAGTCCTATACAGGGCATAGCTATTGTAGATAGTGTGACCTTGTGTCAATTCCTTTATTGTTCAAAACCTTAGTTTATTCTAATAAAACAACAGGTCTAATGGCCTTAATGGTCACCTAAGTAAAATACAACAGAGATAATTTTCAAAGAAATCACTATAAAATCAGTAGAGTCCCCATCACCAAAACCCTGACCCTGAGGCCACTGTTTTCATAAATTTGGAAGAAGCATCCTTCCTCACCATATCTATGCACTTATTTTGTTTGTTTAATACCCATGAGCAGAGTAGAAGATTTTCATAGAAATAATGCATTTTCACCCATTTTGATGGTTTTGGCCCATTCCTCAGGCCCAAGAAGGGCAGGGACCATGAAATTCACAATTTTTGTACCCATTCATCCAATGATGCCATAAGTCTAAATCGATTGAAATTGGTTCAGCGGTTCAAGAGAATAAGTTGAAAATGTTCATATGTTTATGACCGATGGACAAACAGGTAGCTATAGGTCACCTGAGTCACTCAGGTGACCTTCAAACTCTTAAAATATCAGTTTACCAGTGTTCAAATGACTGCAAAATAACATTATAACTCATTACTAAATAGAAGGTTCTGCAGAAGGTATTTCTTAACATGAGAATTATGACATTTGCTGTAGAAGTAATAATTTCTAACATCAATCAGACATCCTTGGAAAAATTCTGATTTTGTGATCACATATCAGTAATTTTATTTTATATATCCCTTATTAAGTCATCTTTATGTTTGCCATGTTATTTACAACCATTTCTCTTGTTATCCCATATTCTGTAATTTCATTTTATATATTCCTTTATTAAAGGTCATCTTTATGTTTGCTTTGTTGTTATCAACCATTTCTCTCATTACTGCGTAATTGGAGATACTGAGTGACATTCAGAGAAATCCAACAAACTTGCTATTAAATGCAACTATCAATTACCTGTTCAATATCTGTAATGATGTCATCTGGGTCAAAAGAAATCTCATCATCATCAGCTGCAATAAAAATGTTTATCATTTTAGACTTCATTTCTGTGTAGCATAAGAGGAGTAACTCTTATCTCTATTTACTGAACACATATACCAGCTTGGTAGTCGTAGACTGCCACAGCAGTTAGTCCCCCTGCCGCACTAGGTGGCGCTGCTGGAGGTTCCTGCACATCCTCATAATCGTCTTGAGGAGTAGTGTCCTCGTACAGTTCCTCTGGTTCCTCAACAGGAGGCACTTCCTGTAATACACAGATTCCAGTCAATGTATACACAGAAGTAGAACTTATCACCCAAAACCTTCAGAACAATATTATGGATATAAAACCTTATTTCTATGATCCTCCTTTTCTATTTATTTTGGGCTGCCAGTAGGCAGTTTCATTGTTTAAATGAGTGTTTCTGTAGAAATGCATCTTTGATTTATCACAGACCAATGTCTTTTGACAACTTGTATTAAAAAAATTTATAACAAATCACTAAGGCATATGTAGAGGTTTGCTTGCATGTTTCTTCATTACAAGGGGTCATCCATGCTCTTGTCTCATTAGAACTTCATTAGTTTAAAAAACTCTCTGTTTCGAGTTCATCATCTGGATTTTACCTCAATGTGTTGGTAAGAGTAATGTGTGGATGACATTTTACCTCTTTGTGTACTTGCTGATAAGAGTAATGTGTGGATGACATTTTACCTCTTTGAGTTGATAAGAGTAATGTATGGATGACATCTGATTTTACCTCTTTGTGTTGATAAGAGTAATGTGCAGATGTCCTCTGGATTTTACCTCTTGGTGTTGATAAGAGTAATGTGTAGATGACATCTGGATTTTACCTCTTTGTGTTGATAAGAGTAATATGTGGATGACATCTGGAATTTTACCTTTTTGTTTGATAAGAGTAATGTGTGGATGACATCTGATTTTACCTCATTGTGTTGATAAGAGTAATGTGTGGATGACACCTGGATTTTACCTTTTTGTGTTGATAGGAGTAATATGTGGATGACATCTGATTTTACCTCTTTGTGTTGATAAGAGTAATATGTGGATGACATCTGGAATTTTACCTTTTTGTGTTGATAAGAGTAATGTGTGGATGACATCTGATTTTACCTCATTGTGTTGATAAGAGTAATATGTGGATGACATCTGGAATTTTACCTTTTTGTGTTGATAAGAGTAATGTGTGGATGACATCTGGATTTTACTTTTTTGTGTTGATAAGAGTAATATGTGGATGACATCTGATTTTACCTCTTTGTGTTGATAAGAGTAATATGTGAATGACATCTGGATTTTACCTCTTTGTGAACTTGTTGATATGACACGTCTCCATATTCCTCCTGTTGTGGCTCAGGCTCGGGTTCTGGTTCAGGTTCTGGTTGACTTGCTGCTCTCTGCTCCTCCTCCCATCTCTCTCTATTTAATCTCTCCTACACATATTGGAGAGACATCATAAAAAAAATTTTTCAAAGCTTTTTCTTATCCATGCAAATTAGTTATGCATTAATTAACTTGATTAATATATTTTTATTTTAAAAACCAGTTACTCTCTACAATAAAATCTATGACCCATTTCTGCAAACTGAGTTTGTTAATTAAAACTCCTGCCCAAGATTTTTTTTGAGTAAATATTAAGATCCATCCCTCAGACAGACAGTTTTTTTTCAAAGGAAAACCTTTTGATCCACCCCTCAAATAGACATTTTTTTTGTGGAAATCTTTATGATCCACCCCTCACCTCCTGCTGCCTCCTCTGCTCTTCTCGTTCCCTCTCCTCACGGGCTTCCCTCCTCTTCCTCTCCTCCTCTGCCCTTTTCTTGGCCTCCTCTTCCCCTGACTTTGCCATGTTTTCAAAGCGAGCTTTGATGTTTTTAGCTCCCTCAGAACCTGTAGTTAAAATCAAACCTATCATTTTTTACACTAAAAGGAACAGAATGGCAATATAAATCTATAGGAATATCATTTTGGATTTGAGGTATCAATCAGTAGTTTTAAGGCTTCTGCGATAATTAAACTATAATTGATTTTTGGCATGACAGTAAAAAATGTTCCATCTGACGTAATATATATTAAAAGAGACCTCTCCAAATGTAAAACTCAAGAATCTTAATGTTGCATCATCATAAAATGCAAAAATGTCTATTTTCTGTATAAATTGTGGAATATTTTAAAACAATTATTGAGAATTTTTTCAGAAATACAATAAGAGTATTTTTTTTCATACAAGAAGTAATTGAATGAATAACATTCATTGAAGGACTAAAAGCTGCTACTCACTTGCATCTGCCTGTGTTCTGGTGTATGATGATGATACTCCCTGCATATCATTATATGACCCTGCAGACTGAGGAATAGAAATCAGAAACAACATCAGGAAATAATCCCTCTCAGTCATAAATATACTGCACAATTATTTCTTCAACCCACACATCAAAATTAATGATTATTTTTAATGGACTACATGTACTTTACTATAATATGAATAATTTCTGTAGTACATGTATGTAGTATTTCTAACATCAAGCCAGTATATTGGGCTGTCTGATATTAATTCTGCCTTTGACATCACCAAAGAATTCAAAACCTACGAGGGAGGGAGAAAAAATTTAAACAAACAAAAATTTCAAACAAAATTTCATTAATCAACATTTTGAAACTATTTCAGTAACATGTACAGGTTTATTTTTGAAATTAAATATGTCAGTTTAAAAGATATAATCACAGTATGCCATATATACATGTACTTCACAAAGGGCCCCAAATATTGCCTATTCCTATGGAATGCAGCTTTTAGTTGCTAAAAGTAAAACCTAACTGGAATATTTTTTTTTTTTTTTTTTATAAAATAGAGATTTCTTTGTTTTAATAGCAATAATTTCTCTTAAACCTTCTGCAATAAACATTAAATTCACTTTGGACAGCCTTAGTAAAGAGCAGTGGAAGTGATATCCTCACCTTGTCTTTGTTTTCAGAATCCACACCAAACTTTCCCCCGAATCCTTTACTCATGTCTGTCTGGGAGGGGTGGAGGGGGACTTTCTCCTGACTACTGTACCCCACTGCTGACTTGTCCTGTCTGTCTGTCTGTACACCATACTTACCACCAAAACCACGGGAGTAGTCTAAAAAAGTACACCAAAAACACAGTCAGAAATAGTCACTATAGGAGATTGCACAAGTCTTATAAACTTTATAACAATAATACATAAAAGTACATAATCACAACAGTCAATAATTAAAGATCTAAATGACAAAAGAATTCCTCTTAATTTAAATTGAAATGTGCTTGACAAACTTTGATGCAAAGGTGCATTAAAAAAAGAAGAAAAAAAACCGGACAAACAAATAAAAAACTTAAAACCTGGTCTTGCTGTTATTTCAGTACAAAGAAAAAAAAAAATAGATAATGTCATTTTTAGATTCATGTAAAACAATCCATTCATTATTTTCTAATCATGCTTTTAGTAACCTGTAGATAATCAATGTACAGTATATCTCAAAATCATGCTACATATTGGAACTGGATATCATAAAATTCTAACATTGGTCATGTTCAGGATTTCATGGGACAAATAAAAACTGATAAATTTTTATATCACTATTCTTACTGAATCCTCCCCCCTCCTTCTTACTGAAAACTAAACTTCATATAATGGTAAATATATCATGTACTTCTTATTTTCGGTGCTGAAACACAGAAATGTGGATATCACAACACTCATGCAGGTCACACAGACAAACCTGTCTGAGACTCATGTTTGAGAACTTTTTCTATGTGATCAAAGCCAACAGCTGATTTATCCACTCTATCTCTCTGTATCCCAAACTTTCCTCCAAAACCCTTAGAGTAATCTGACAGGAAATACTCATGTATTCAAAGACTTATACAAAATATACACATTGTCCTCTTAATATGACCTTTTCTAGTAAGTCATCTCATGAAAATCTTATATTTCAACAAGAATACTATGTTTAAAAATGTCTTCATGCATCTTTGTTTTATTCATATCAAAGAAGAGATCCTAATATATCAATGAGGAAAAATAGAATATAAATTTTTACATAAAGTTAGTCACAGTGATTCTACAATGGAAAAACAAGTACTTGAAGCATGATAACAGAATAGCTACCTTTTTGGGACTCGTGTTTATCTACTTGTTCATGGTGCTCCCAGCCAACCGCTGATTTATCCTGTCTGTCTTTCTGCACCCCATATTTCCCTCCAAAACCTTTGGAATAATCTAAAAAAATTGAAAGCAGAGATGAATTAAAATTACTTCAAAAAAAAAAAAAAAAAAAAAAAAAATTAAATGTACTTCAACAGACTAGCAGTAATACAGTAAAACAAGCTTATAGCAAACACTCTTATAACAAATTGAAGCTTAAAGCAAAGTGATTTTCATTCCCCACAGCTTTAAAATATATTGTAAACTTAGTGGATATAATGAATTACATTTACAGCGAAGCAAATGTGCCTGTCCCTGGCACTTCGTTATAAGCATGTTTTACTGTAATTAATGTTGTATAGAAGACTATAACATTTTCAATAGTTTTTGTTGGTATGGGATATTCACAGAGATTTCACAACTCCTAATAGAATTTTTCATTCAAAACAAAGGTAAAAATTTCTGTTCACTACCTTACATTCATTTATGGTACTTGATGTTTTAAACATATGTTCTTTATAATTAAAAAAAAATATATACTACATGTCTAATTGCTATTACTGTAAAAGTAGAAATATTCATTGGGGATTAAATTTTGTTTATTTCGTTGATTACTTTAATGAACAAACAAGGTAATCAGAGATTACAGAGCTCACCTCAACAAATTGACTTAAAGTAAGGCAAAGTCCCACACTTAACTAATAATCTAGTAGTGTGCATCCCTAGATGCAAGATTTATGCTATTTTGGCCTGATAGGGCTTGCAGTTACTTTGGAATGGACTTATTTAAAAACTTATACTAGTCACTCATCCAGAAAATGTAAGTCAAATCCAGCATCTGAAGCAAGTTTGAGAGCGTTTGTCCCTTGATACATCATCCATGCAAGTTTGGTTCAGATAGGTCTTATAGTTTCTTGGCAATAGTTGGACCTGCTCCAAAAACTTTCACCTGGTCACTCATCCAAAAAATGTAGGTCAGACCCAGCATCTGAAGCAAGTCCAATATTGTGCAGCCTTAGATGTATCATCCACGCAAGTTTGGTCAACATAGGACTTATAGTTACTTGGAAACGAGATCTGCTTCAAAAACTTTAACCTGGTCACTCATCCAGAAAATGTAGGTCAGATCCAGCATCTGAAGCAAGCCTGGTAGTGTGCATCCTTAGATGTATCATCCATGCAAGTTTGGTCAACAAAGGGCTTACAGTTACTTGGAAATGAGACCTACTCCAAAAACTTTAACCTGCTCTAAAAACTTTAACCTGCTCCAAAACATTAACCTGGTCATTCTTTAGCTGAAATTGCAGCATCTGAATCCTTGACTGGTACAATGAAACACACTAGAAGCATCCTTCATGCACCTCTGATTAATATAGGGCATAGAAGTACTTGAAAAGAAATCTGCTCCAAAAACTTTAACCTGGGATACCGAGGGTATTACATAAGCTCCTGCAACTTCGTTGAGGTGAGCTAAAAATTAATCCCTAATGAAATTTTAACTAATCCATTGTTATGTTTAAGCTTGAAACAATGAAATTAAGTCCCTATGAAATAATTTTTGACCATAAATCTATGAAATATTATCCCCACAAAAATTTCTGCTTTTACATATTTGAGCATGGAATTTTAAATGTTTAAAATGTCAAGTACCTGTGCATTCATAATCAAGAAAATACATAAGCTCTGATTTAATCAATCATTTATATCTAGGGATGTCAACGAATATTCGAGTACTCGACTATCGTTCGATCATACCGACTATCGACTAAAATTTTTTTAGTCGGTTATTCGTTAAAAATGTGTTACCTGAAAGTAATTTTAAATTCAAGGTAATAAACTTGGATTCACCCATTTCATTTATATACAATTCAATATTCTCGTAAGTAAAACTCGGGGTATGGTTTAACTGTTCAAAAAAATTAATTGGATGTCGATCTATGATTGGCAAATATGCCTCCAAAATCTACAGTTTTGGAATACTTCAAAAGATTTCAGGATGGAAAAACAGTGAAAAGTATGTTTTCAAGGTTATGTGAAACTGAACTTGTATTCTGCAGTGAAACATCAAATATGATGTATCATATGCCGAATTCGTCAAACATACATGTAGTAAACACAGTTTTCAAGTGAAACTTTTCTTAAATAAGTTCTCCGCAAAATGCCCAAAATAACATAGCCGGAAAGAAAAATTTTGTTATCACAAACATGATTATCAAGGATTGCCTACCATTTATTGTTGTAAATGGAGAGGACGTACAAGAATTGTTTGGTTTCGTAGATTCAAATTATAAAATTTCAACCTGCAATTCCACAAGATCTGACGTAATGCAACTATTCATAAAGAATAAACAGCTGTTACAAAATTGTAAATACATGTAAATTGGGGGACAGTTATGAGCGTAATTAAATGGTGTTTCTTTCTGATATTAATATCACGCAGTCTTTTAAGGTTGTATTGATTATTTGCACAAAATCTCATAATTAAACTTAATCGCAAGCTCTCTCTGTTTTTATAAGAGGCACGCTTTAATTGTTTACCACTCAAAGGTCACTAACACGACACGTAGAAATGGCTTCAATTAACGGGTACATGTACTATCCTTTATATGAAAAGAAAGGAAAAATGCAAGCATTTGATATCCTGCATTTAGATAAAATGTGCAGTAAATATTATATTAATTTTGAAATCAAATGCACCATTTGGATAAATGTAGATGTACAGTATTTATTGTACTACGTAAATGTTTACGATTCAGAAATTTGTTGTATAATGCCGATAGCGTAGGTTAAATATTGTACAACTAGTCTAGAAAAGACAAATACTGAAAATGACATGAAAAATTAATTTAAATTTCAACGAATATTCGACTATCGTTCGACTAAAGCCTCCGACTATTCGACTAAGCTGTCCGAATAAAATTGACATCCCTATTTATATCTAAATGATAATCAGTCACGAATGACTTTGTTTTCATTTTTTACTTATATTTTAACATCATCCCTAGCTCCTTTACCTTTTTGTGACTCGTGCTTGTCGACTTGTTCATGGTGTTCCCACCCCACGGCAGCCTTGTCCTGTCGGTCCTTCTGTACCCCGTATTTACCTCCAAACCCCTTGGAGTAATCTACAATAATCAGAATTCACTATGAATTTGTTATCTTTATGCTACAGAGTGACACGTACATAATCAAAGAACAACATAAAGAGTTAAATGACCTGACATAAGACAATGAAACTGAGAGTTAAATCATTCACAAACACTCAGGAAAAAAAAAATCAATTTCATACTCATCATGCTTAAATGCAAGAATGAAATGTCATAAAGTAAACAAGCACACATACAAAATCATACATTTATTTAAAAAACTTTGTATTTCATTTACATACAAAATGTTAATATAATTTTTCGTGTTCCCAAACCTTGTTGTGACTCATGTTTTGCGACTTTTTCTTGATGTTCCCATCCAACGGCAGACTTATCCTTACGATCAGACTGAACTCCGTACTTCCCTCCAAAACCCGTAGAATAATCTACATTCACATCAAAGAGATGTACAGGCAAGAAGAGCATGACATCAAAACATGCAACAGCTCCCTCTAGCATTCATTTTGTATTTTTAGGTTAATATGAATTATGATACCATGATTTGTAAGTATGAAATTATTTTCAGTACACACTGCCATGATTTGAAATTTGACAATTTCATACAATTTGTTGAAGACATTCTCAGGTAAAGATGTTAACATGCAAAAAAATATTTCTTGCTCGAACAATGAGATTATAAAATTGGGTGCCCTCCCAATAGATTCTATAATTATATAGAAATTGACACAATGTCTGTTATTAGTCAATCTTGTTGTTAGTTACAACAGATGTACATGGAGTACGCATTCACACATTTTCCGAAATATCATTTATCAGAAATATATAAAACCTGACAGTATAAGAACTGTTCCATGCAAAACTTTTCTTGACACTATAATATATTGAGACCATTTTCTCCACTTGGAAGTAATTTAAAATCACAGTGCACTTGCTAAAAAATCTGTAAAATTTTTCATGAACTGTCAAACCTGTTTGAGATTGATGTTTCTCAGTTTTACCAGCATAGTCAAACCCAACTGCAGCCTGCAAAGACAATTAAACATTGATTCAACAAAGGAAATATAAATGATTCAAGGTCTCTAGATGCCCAAAGTGATAATAGTAAAGTACAAAGTAAAATCTAAATACATTTATATACAAGGAAGCGCAATTCAATTGACATAAGGAAATCATTTACACATGTTTAAATTTTTAAATGCAACATTCAAAAATATAGATTTGTTATGAAAACAAGATGCCCATGGGCCACAATGCTCACCTGAGTCACTATGGCCTTGCTGTTCTCTCTTAGCTGATATTTTCCCTATGTCAAACTTTGTTCACATATTGTGGCCCCATCCACCCCCTGGGGTATTTGAACAATGCACTTGCTGAGTCAATCTAAACTTCCCAAGGATGCTTCCGAATCAATGACTGATCATAGCCTTGCTGTTCTTGAGAAGATTTTTAAAGATTTTTCTTATATATTCCTATGTAAAACTTTGACCCCCTATTATAGCCACACCCTATCCCCGGTTTTGAACAAATTTGAATCTACACTATGTAAAGAAGGTTTCCTATAAGTTTCAACTTTTATGGCCCAGTGGTTCATGAGAAGATTTTTAAAAGATGCCACCAAATTTTCATAAATTCTTAATTATCTACCCTTAAAAGAAGGCATGGCTCTTCAGTTCAAAAAAACTTGAATTCTCTTCACCCAAAGATACTTAGTGGCAAGTTTGGTTAAAACTGGCCTGGTCTGAGCTCTCAGCTCAGGTGAGCTAAAAATGTGGGGAAAATGTACCTCCGTAGAAACACATAAAGATGACTTAAATACTTGGACATATGCAATTGCCTGTACAATTCTAACTGATTAAACAGACCTAATGATTATATGTAAAGAACACACAAGTCACATACCTTATCTTGCCTGTCTTTCTGCACACCAAACTTTCCCCCAAATCCCCTGGAAGCATCTGTCTGACTGCTGTGTTTTCCTACTTCAGCCACATAATCTGCTCCCATAGCTGACTGGAATTAAAGAAAATAAAATCGTTCAATGATCATTCTCCCAATATGAAACCTTGGAGATAATTCTTTCTGTATTTTATTCTACATGTATCAGCATGTTCAGGTACATGTATTTAATCATTGAAAATTTTCCTGTGTATCATTTTCATATTAAATCTGCTTTAAACCTGTTTATTTTCAGGATTATTATTTCATCCCTTGAGAAATTAATATTTCTAATCAATTTATTTCATTATTACTTATATTTGATTTAAAAAAAAAATAAGTGAATGATTCAATTTTCATTTGAAACATATCTAAAATCAAAAAAAAAAATTAAATTCTAAACAAATTTATACAAAAATTTGATTCAGCAGTTCCAAAGCATTTCTTTATTGGTAGTATATACCTTGTCCATTCTGTCTTTCTGCACTCCAAACTTCCCTCCGTAACCATATGAAGCTTTAGGCCCCTCCTCCATCTGCTTCTGTTTGACGGTTTTGTCGTCCTGTGATACATCTTGTCTGAGTTGGGCGAGGCTGAGGGACCCCTGGTGACCTGACCCCTCTATGGTCTTTGCTCCCCATCTTTGTTCCTGTTCACTCACATCATTCTGTAAATATGCATTATATATGGAGATACATATACTGAATTGATGGCTTTACATATCCTGTAGCTACATGTATATTTATTTGGTCATGTCCAGTTCTCAACAAATTCATGAGCTCTTGGCTCGCAATCTGCATTTCAATCTTTGATGTAAATTAGGAATGCATAAGCAAAATAATTGTTAGATACACCAAGTAATTGTATGATTGTAAGGGGGTTAAAATTATCCTCTCTCTCTCCTTCAAACTGATGTTATGCATTACTCAGTCCTAAATACAGTTGAACCTTCTTTACCTCAAACACTGATATCTTGAATATGTCAAAGTAAGTTTGAAGTCCCAACAACCTTTTCTTTGTGTAATTTAACCTCGATATTTTGAATCCTTGGATATCTCTCTGTTTTTTGGTCCCATCAAATTTGAGAAAATGAGGTTTGACTGTTTTAAAATATTACTGAGTATTTCTTTTCCTAAACAAGTTATAGTTACAGAAAGAAAATTCATGTGTTTAATAAAGATTTAATTCTACCTCTGCTATAATCCCCATAATTTCACAATCCCTGTATTGCCTGTAACTAACTCCCTTACCACAAAATCTGCCTCTGTCTCCCAGTCATCATCATCATCATTAGTCTGGGGAATGCCTGGCTTCACATTGTGTCCAGCTGATGCCTTCCACATGCTGATGTTGATTACTTGTGATTAAAACCTGAAAGAAAGCAGACAGCTTGTCTTAAAAACATAAGACTTGTTATCAAAAACACACAACCAAGATGGATCAACCGTACAGTACAAATATAGTGGAGGGATATGCTGTGCATGGATTTATATAATTTTTACACAATACACTGGAACCTGGAAAACATGACTCATTAACCATGCTAACTCACTAAGTCATGGATTTGAATTAGAATTAGAATTAGAATTCTCAAAAATTATGGCATATGCTTAAAATAAGATCTTCCATCATAGTGTCTGAAATTTCAATACCTTATGTAAATGACAATATACTATCTTAGTACTAAAACATGTTCAAAGTATATCAAAAAACAAAAACAAGCACACTGTATACAACTCAGCCGGCAAATCTGACTCATCGGGTGACGCAGGATCGCAAAATGTCCATGTGCACAGTTTCTGTCAGTTTTTCCAGTCGATAGTTAATCATTCACTTACCTGTTAATGCTGGATAAATTATTTTTTTGTTCAATTCCTCGTCCTTCCTTGTCAAAATATTGTCTGTAGCAGCTCTTCCCACTTCCGCAATGCCAGTTCAGTTCCGCGGAACATCGAACCCGATCTTTTTTTTCTTAATGCAATCAAATTTTATTATAAATCTTGTACAATCATTATAAAGCAGATATGAAATGTTACATTTTCCCATTTTATTATGAATGTGTACAAGCATTAATAACCCTGTCATCTTTCACTTAAATTTTTACACACTTTTCCAAATATTGTTTCTGTCGGGTAAATTTTTAAAATAGGGTTCATTTCTTACCCCTATGGAATTCCATATACGACAGCCAACTGCTTACTGCCAACTGCTCACTGCTTACTGCCAACTGCCACTGCTCATAGATGATATTGCCTGTTTTATTATCTTTAAAATCTTTAATACGCATGCTTAATTGAATAAACTCTATGATAGATTACAAAAAAAACCCAAAAATTGGCGGATTCAGGAATTTTTAAACGGTGAAGGCAAGGAAGGAATAAATAGGAGGAAAGAGTATTCTCTCTTAAATACAATACATCTAATTTCCACATTTCCTTGCAGGCAAATAATTCAATTTATTATATGATTGAATAATTCCCATCTCTCTGATTGGCTGAGATCCAACAATGTTAGAAAAATACTACGTTATATTGACCTGCACGTGATCTTCCAGGTCAATATAAGGAATTATTTATTCTACATTGGACCAAAAATAGATAGGGAAATTCCAAATTGATGCAAATAGTTTTGGAAAGTTATTTCACTTGCACCTGACATCCACTCATATGAACATAGCATTAAGGCACATAGATTCTTGGGTGAGGGGTCGGGTTGCATGGGTATAATGAGCAATTAGCCTTCAACCAAATTTGTGAAATCCATGACCCTTGGTAGAGGTGTCTGGTATCGGAGAAAGACAAAGATGGTTTAACATTGAAAATACATTACACATTTAAAAATCGTTTTTTCCTGGAAATCTAATTTCAATATGTTTAAATTATTTTTGAAGAAAGTAGCCTTATATTTCATTGTGAAATTCATGTCCCGAGGGTAAGATTTTAGCCCCCGGATTGGGGCTAAGTTAGTCATGTTTTGAAAATAAAAGGCGTAATAACGCCTTTTGGAGAGGCGTAATAACACCTTTTGACAAGGCGTAATAATGCCTTTTGAAAAGGCGTAATAACGCCTTTTGAAAAGGAGTAATAACGCCTTTTGGAATGGCGTAATAATGCATTTTGGAAAGGCGTAATAACGCCTTTTGAGAAGGCGTAATAATGCCTTTTTAAAAAGGCGTAATAACGCCTTTTGACAAGGCGTAATAACACCCTTTGGAAAGGCGTAATAACGCCTTTTGAGAAGGCGTAATAACGTCTTTTGAAAAGGCGTAATAACGCCTTTTGAAAAGGCGTAATAGCGCCTTTTTCGCGTTATTACGCTTTTTTTTTTAGCGTTATTAAGCCTTTTCGAAAGGCGTCATAATGCCTTTCAAATTTTTTTTTCTCCTTAGATTGATCCTAATAAGCTTTCGTAGGAAAGGACATTGCAGATGCAGATTTGAAAATAATTCAAAAATTCTAATCACTTCATAATGCATTTATAAAAAAAAATACTAAAACATGCATGTCATGGTACAAGTAAAAAGCCAAAAAATTGAAGTATGATAAAATATACTTGTATGTCAGTGTCAATTAAACGAACAATCATCGGATCATACTAGCGGTCAGTGGATTTACAAAGAATGCAAGCGGTAGGAACTGATTTTTTTTTCTATTAGTCACCCCTTATTTTTGGGGGGGGGGGGGGCGGATTGTTACATGTGGATTTGGCGAAGTGAGCTTTTGTACTTTCGGCAAGATTGTGTGCTAATACTACATGTACATGCATTTGGTTTTATAAATTCGTTTATGTTACCCTGAGCAATACAGATAGGAAATAAGGTTTAAGGCCTAATATCTGTAGGAGTTCAACAGCTACCTATTTATATGGATACGTGTATGTAAAACATAATCCACTGAACATTATTAAAAAAAAAGGAATGCAAAAATACCGGGTATATTATCGTAATATGCTGCATATTTATTAGCATTGCGGGGTCTAGTAAAGTAGTTTATTATCGAAGTACGTATTCTTTTCTTATGAACATATAAGCAATGAGTATTGATGACTGCATGTTTTGAAGACGAAAGATAAGTTTTCAGCCAGATTATTTCTTTCACGCTTACCCCCGCCTCCGAAACATCACGATATCGGAAAAAAGTTTTTAAAAATTGGATTAACATGTAATTTTAGCTACAATTTAATAATCAGTTTAAAAATATTCTTTACAGACCTGATCTTATTTGTTGACCCGAGAGTTAAAAAAAAAGAAAAAAAAGCGCATTTGTCTATACATGTACTTCCGGTAGCACATGAGCAGCGTGCCATGAACAGTCAGTACAATGGCGGGCAATTCTTTTCTAGATATTTCTATAATTTCAGTTTTCCTTAAGAGTTCCTGAAACGGATGACATATAAAGAGGAGAAACATTGTTTCTTTGTGAGTAATTATGATATAAAACGTTGCTTTTGCATATAATATGTATTGTAACAAGGAGAGGATTTTTTTTTCATTTTGTGGGTTCAATGGCAAAGTTAAACGAACAATCGTACAGTTGCCCAGTGTATGTCTTTGCAATTGTGTGAATGGTTTAACAAAGAAAGAGTTAGAATTGCCTTTTCCCAATTTTTCTTTTCTCTCGGCTTCCGTAGATTTTCGGGTATATTAAAATTTGGGTCTTGGTGAGCTAAGTTCATGAAGTTCGATATCTGAGAGTGATTCATTTAATAACACTGATAATAATGTGAGATACATGAGTTTAAACCTGTCTATATATGAAGAATATAAAATCTATTGAGTAGGACAGTTTCTACAGGGTTTATGTTAATGTGTATTGGTTAACAATCAACAGCTGATCAAGTTTTTTAAAAATACAAGTGTTAAGCTTAACTAAGTTATGTACAGATGTAGCCCCCCCCCCCAAAAAAAAAGAAAAAAGATCACTATATCCCCCCCCCAAAAAAAAAACAAAAAAAAAAAATCAATAAAAAATGCAGGACCATCACTGGGTTTCTGAAAGGAAGTTTCATGGGACTGGGGGGGGGGGGGGGGTACATGTATCATTGAGGGGGAAAAGATTTTTTTTTTTGGTTAAACAGGTACAATTTTTAATTGTTCTATTGGATTCTAGAATTCATTATTTTTTATGCCCCACCATGAATAATGGCTGGAGCTATATTGTTTTTATGTCTATCTTCCATCCTTCTGATCTAACATCCTTCTGTCCTTCCATCACACTTGGCATTTAGCCCAGTTTCAAAGGAACTATTCAAAATATTTCAATCAAACTTGATTAGAGTTATTCAACTGCATCAACATTTTTTATCTTAACTTCCCTTTGACCTTGACCTCATTAAATAATTGTTTAGCTCACTAAGAAACTTTTCAAGATATTTTTATCAAACCATATATGCTGATACATACTGTTAAGAACTATTCAACTTCATTTAACATGTTTGACCTTTCCCTTGACCTTGACTTCACATTTCTTAAATCTGTGGTTAGCTATGTTTCAATGAAAAATATTCAAGATATTTTTATCAAACTTCATATGCTGATACATATTGATAAAACTATTCAACTGTATCAACATTTTTTACCTTGACCTTTTCTTTGACATTGATGTCACTTTTCTTAAATAAGTGATTATCTCAATTAAGAAACTTAAGATATTTTTATCAAATGTTATATGCTTATATATACTGATGAGAGATGTTCAACATCAACGTTTTTTTTTTTCTTTGACCTTGACCTCATTTTTCTTAAAATAGTGTAAAGCTCAGTTTCAAAGAAACTATTCAAGATATTTTAATCAAACCTTGTATGCTGATACATATTGGTGAGAGCTATTCAACTGCATCAACTCTTTTGACCTTGGCTTTTCTTTTGACCTTGACATCAATTCTGTGTTTAGCTAAATTTCAAAGAAACTATTCAATATATTTTTATCAAACTTTATATACTTTATATACTTATGCATATTGATAAGATTTGTTTAATTACATCAACATGCTTGACCTTTTCTTTGACCTTGACTTCAAATTTGTGTTTAGCTAAATTTTAAAGAAAGTATTCAAGATATTTTTATCAAACTTCATATGCTTATACATAATGAGAGCTATTCAATGGCATCAACATTGGCCTTGACCTTTCCTTTTACCTTGATCTCGCTTTTCTCAAATTTTTGTTTAGCTAAGTTTCAAAGAAACAAACCAAGATTTTTTTTATTAATCAGCATATGCTGATACATATTGAGGAGAGCTATCCAACTTCAGCAATTTTTTTGTCCTTGGCCTCTCCTTTGATTTAACTTTTTTTTTCAAATTTGTGTTTAGCTTGGTTTCAGAGAAACTTTTTCTAGATATTTTTTTATGTAAGCTTATGCACTGATACATTATTTGATGAGAATTTATCAACTGTGTCCATTTTTTTTTTACGTTGATCTTTCCAATGACCTTTTCATCTTAAATTTTTTGTATAAAACTCAGTTTTAAAGAAACTATTCCAGATATTTTCACCAAACTTCATGCACAAATACAAATCCATGTTTCATTACTGATGAATCCTGGGCGGGGCTTTCATGTCCTATGAACATATTTCTAGCTTTTTTCTTTCAAAAAAATCTTTTTTCACTTTGAAATATTTGATAAATCAAGTCAAAGCTATATTTATATGAACAGATAAATTGATGCAAAGCATCAAATCGGCCACAAAAATATATTTCATTTTGAAGAATTTCCACAAGAAAGAGTCCAAAGAAAAAATCCAAATAGAAAAAGTATATGATACATTTTTAAACTTGCTTTACCATACTTTTCTGCGCATTTTTACACTAGTTTTCAGTGATCAATTGTTAAATAATTATTAAAACAAAAATAAATTCATTAATATGAAAATCAGACTGCAATAATGGATAGGAACGATTATCATCAAATTATTTGATTCAAGGACAA